TTTTGCCACATTTAGAATATGCATCACCGGTCTGGAGTCCATTTGTAAAGAAGAACATTGAAAAGTTAGAGAAGGTCCAGAAAACATTTACCAGAATTCTCTACTACAGATGTTATCCCAGACCGGATTATCCTCAAACTCTGCCATCGTACAATACTAGACTGGCTACGCTTAAATTGCATAGCCTGAAATATAGACGCATATGTAATGACTTAGTCCTATGTTTTCGCATTCTTAGACTTGAAGACTAAGTCCTAGCCGTTACTGGATTTTCAGACCTTGTGGGAGAACTGGCGGTTTCGGTTTGTCTTACAGGAAGCTAGGACGTGAAAAGTTGTCAATAGCTTTTAATTCTTTTGTGTGCCGTTCCGCCAGATGGCTCAATCTTTTACCATGCGAAATTATCTCGTCCAAGAATTCTGCAGAGTTTCGAAAAAAATTAGCTTCCATAGATGTCCTGCAGACTTTGAGAATCGCTGATGTTTAGCCTGCTGTATTCATACTGCACATCTTTTTTTTCTGTTTAAATTTTTTGTTTTTTGCACACCATGCCAAAAGAAAAAGAAAACAAAAAAAAATCTTTCTCTTTGACCCTTTGTCAGGCATGACTACAGCATTGACGAAATCATTTCTATCGTTCTTCTATGATATCCAGACAGGTTTGCAGTCTCTTCGCTCAGCCGTTTGAGGAAACTGAAGCTGGCGCGCCCCTCTTCCTTGAAATCCCCCCTTCTCGCTCGCCCAGGGTCCCTGGCGGATTCGTCCGCAAAGGGTTAAGTGGTCAGCCAGCCCTGGTAAGTGCGGTCATCCAACGCGTCCGGGTAAGGGAACAAGATTTCGGCAGAGGAATACTCGCCACAGAAGAAGGAGAACGACTTGCACTTCGGGCGGAGCATTTTACCTGCCTCACCTGTCTATCATGAACTCTGTGTAACATTTCGTGTGATAATTTTTCCTGCTATTGATTACTTGTGTTCTTTTTGGCACACTTTTGGTGTATTTTAAATAAATAAATAAATAAATAAATAAAAAATCTTGTTAGACACCTCTCTCGCATCTGAATACGCCATATTTTTTGTAGCCTCCCATATGCAGTTTGAAGTAAACATCGCTCGTACAGGAGAGACTAATAAATTAATAAAACAATAATTTTCTCTCTGCTGCTAGCAGATGACCGCTATAAACCTGTGTAAATTTTTCATCCAAATCTTCATTGAAGTAATCTGTAAGCTTTTCTACGCTTTTCTACAGTTATGACAATGCCACACAGTTGTGACAGTGGAATGTGAAAATTCTCGGCGAATTCGCCAAAGTTGGCGGAAAACGCAAAATCGCCGACATCGCCGAGGATTTTTCACATTCCAAAGTCAACTGTTTAACTGCATGTATGATGTAAATCTTCAAATTTCCGCTTAAATGGAAATTGGAAGATTTACAGATTTATTTATCAGATAAGATTTACTCAATTTGCTGACAACAATTTTTACATTGTTTTGGTGCTGTTGGCACATTCTAGGGATGAGAATCCGCCAAAATACAAGATTCTCAAATTTGGGAAAAAATTCACGAGTTCATTGAGTTTGTAACCTCATAATCTGACGAGAAGTGCAGATAGGGGCCTGTGCTAATCACAGCCTGATAACGTTCTTTACAAAGATTTTAATTTACAAAAACACGCAAGCAAGTTTTTTGATAGGCGGGCGAGAAGTGCCAACGAATCCTCAACCTTGCGTGGTTTAACTAAATTTTTTCCATTTAAAACTTCACTGTAGAACTCTTTGGCGCGAAATGACTAGGATTTTTGTAAACAGTGGGTTTGAAAACTACTGTGAGTGGAGTTTCGGGTGAATTCAAGATTACCAATATTTCAGCCAAAACCAGTGGCGAGGTCAAAAGCGAAAATTGAGAGAAATCAAATGGCGCCTTTTTTTAGAAAAATTGAGCATAGAGGTTATCCGACCTGCTGATTACAAAAAACACATCTGCTCCCTGCGATAGCTTCATTCTGTAGAGTTAATGGTGGTTAAATGTCAGGTAAATCTCGATTTTAACAATGTTTGCTAGCCATTCTCGCCTTCACTTCAAAAGATACTTTGCACCATGTTTAGCTGCTAGAAAACTCATAAACCTGTTGTAACGGATAATGTTTATCTTAGCTCTCTATCTACATTGAGTATTGGATTGCGCCCTAACAAAATCCAGCTCGCAGAACATAATTGAAGACTTCAGATCAAAACTAAATGACTTTCTACCCATATATTGGCTACGTACAATACCACCCACATAACTTGCAAAATTTCCATAGATGTCACGAAATTCCGGGAATGTCGCGAAGTTTCGCGAAAATCCGGAAATTTCGCGGAATTCCCGGAATTTCGTGCAATTTTCGTAATTTCGCGACATTTTCACGGAAATTTTGCACATTCTGTGAGCGGTATTGTGTGGCTGCTACGTATGCGCGCGGCAGCTTTCAATAGCTAAAGTGTACGAAAACTAATGCATTAAAACGGAGATTCAAAAAGTTTTTCAATGTCTTGAATATCTACAAAGTCACGCCCGCTATATGCATGCTAGTCACCTGTAACAATTGCCTTTAGGCCCCGGGCAGACTTCACGCGATTTGATCGTCGCGACTCAATCGCCAACATTTCCATTCATTTTTACTTAACATTCAAAAATTTCGGCCTGGAAAAGTATCACAACCGAAATGCAAGTTGATCGGCATGGAATGATGTTGTAACAGTTGTCTCCTCGCGATTTAGTCGCGACGATCAAGTCGCTTGAAGTCTGCCCGGGGCCTTAGACTTAAAGGCAGTGTCTCACCAAAGTTGAGATCGCGCGGATCTTCACATATTCTATTACAGAAATCTCTAAACAGGCCATTGCAACAAGTCCCACTCGATTTGACTCCCTCCACGCTGAGAAAAATACGCTCAAAGTGGTACGCGGACAGCGATTTGGTACGCGCAGACGACTCCTTCGATCTTCCCTCTTACGCGTCTGAATATGTCCCTCCACTTGGCATCCACTTCCCCTCTGTTGCTGCCACTGTGGCTGAGGCTGGAGTTGGAAGGTACAACTCGTCCACGTTGCTTCCGCGAGGCCTCCAGAAAACGGGGTTTTTGGGAACTTCGTGCGAATTTAAGCCCATACAGTACTAGACAAGATCAGACCGGCGTGCAAAATGCAAAAATCTCGGCAAACAAATCTTGGTGAAACACTGCCTTTAAAGCGTACTTACCGCGATTTTTTGAATCCCTGCGCGACTTGGCGATTTGCCAGACGCCTACATATTCAATGTGAGCTTTACTGAATCTACGCGACTTGGCGATTTGCCAGAATACATATTCACTGTGAGCGATCTCAAATGCATAGGCGCGTAAGTTCTGTGGCTTGTTGCAAAAGCATAAAGTCTGACCGAAGCAAAGCGCGCTTACGATTATGAAGAGTCGTTGCAGTGCCGGATCGTGAAGCGACTGGAATCGCTTGAGTTAAGCCTTAGGCCTGAAGGGCCGGGCATACTTCGCGCGATTTCGGTCGCGACGAGGTTTGGCAATTTGCCAGAAGTCTCAAATCCAACATTAGCAAACTGCACATGCATAGTGTGTATCTTACGTGGGTTGACAAAAAGCCCTATCTTCTGTACTTTAAAATCTGCTTAGAGTGAGTTATAGACAGTTGGAATCTTGCCAATTCGCGTCGCGACTGAAATCGCGTGAAGTATGCCCGGCCCATAAGGCATATCTCACGCAATTCTGGTCGCTGCGCGATTTGGCACAACAGCGACTCTTCGTTAATGCACTGTCTTTGGTCAGAACCTTGCTCCATTTGTAACAACCTATACAAGCTATGCAAAATGCATCCGAGAAGCGCGCACGATAAATTTGTAGAAATCTGGCAAATTGCCAAGTCGCGTGAAAGTGGCGATACGGCCGAATCGCTTGAGGTATGCCGCAGGCCTTAGGCCTCAGGCCTGCGGCATACCTCACGGCATCTTAGGCCCCTGCGATTTGGCAATACTCCAAACGTTCATAACTCATCGTGCGGGGTTTTTGAATGCACGGAAGATGGGGCATTTTATCAATCTACGAAAGTTATACATGCTGTACATTTGGGGTCTTCCAGTACTATATTTGAAAACATCTGGCAAATTGCCAGATCGCGTGGCGACTGAAATCGTGTGAGATATGTCCCTTCCCTTAGGCCTTATGACGACTATCAAGCCAAAATAACTCAGGAACTCATTCAAATTCACAGTTGTTCCTCTGCAAAATTTTTTATGGTAGTTTGACAAATTGGTGGTTGCGCGATGGGTTTCAGAGTCATCATGAGAGCACGAGGAAGGCAAAAGTAAAGGGTAATCAGTTCAACCACTGCGGTAAAGACACCAACTTAAGCTGTCATTAAAAAATTTGTATTGATAGACCCAATATCGGTAGTTCTTATAACTTGATATCGAATTTGCTTTCTATTTTTTTTAATGCAATTTTTCTAAAGATGTTATAAGCATTTGAACGTCCCAATTTGTCAGGCCTTGAATGGCATAAAATTACCGCAAAGCTTTACAAAACAACTATGCAAATTTCTATTAACTGTGTTCTTTCCTTGTAGTCAATGTATTCGACACAGAATTGATTGCGCACTTTGAGTTGCTTCTGTAGAGATTTTTGCTGATTTTATGCCACTTGAGAATTGACATCAAACTTTCAAACGCTCATAACTTCTTTTGGAGAATTGCAGGTAATCAAAAGAAAGCAGATTTGGAATCAGTGCCCAATCAACCGAAATCTAGCGATCTACGACTGGTTTTCAACCGCCAGTTCAAGTTAGTATCTTTTCCTTGTAAACAGCAGATCTGAAGTATTAATGTTGAAAGAAGAAACGCCATATAATTTCAAAAATAAATATGACGCTACGAGCTAATTCAACACAGCCGTGGATACGACGTTTCTTAAAATTTCGTTTTTTCCGCCCTTTGTAAAGTAAAACAAAAGACTAACGTTCTCAACAGTACTGGAAATGATTTGGAACTTGAGTCTTGACCAGGTGGGAGCGTGATCTGCACGACGGCTTCTAAACATGAATGTTGAATGAGAATGACAGCATGAACAAGAATAACGAGACTAGAACGCAAAAAACAGCATTTTTTGGAGAACAGACGATGTGATCTCACCAACACTGCACCATTCCCTAAAGAAAGAAGCTAGTATACTTGGCAACAAAACCTTTTTGACTGCTTCTTCAATGTCGTTTTTCGTCCTTATTTGGGTGGTGCATCCTTAGATGTAAGACGTAGACGTAGCAATTTAATAAAAGATCAGTGCTCGTTCATTCATAGTTAATTTGATTTGGAACGGGTTAAAAGAGTAATGCTATTAAAAGTTAAGAAAAAACGCCGCTTTTGCAATGAAAAGTGAACTTCATAACTTAGAAGAGCTACGTGAGCCTTGAAACATGCTTGAGGAGATTCAATGCTGCATTGTATAAACTTTGCGAAAAAAAACCTTTTTTTCGAAATCCTTTTGCATGATGGATGCGCAATCAGCTGTTCAAAATGTCTCTTAAAATTTAAGGGGGACCTCAAACTTCCTTTCAGGAGATACTGAAATGAAGCAATAACGTTCAGTGATATCCTTTCCAAAATTATGAGCTGTTTTTCTAACAACGATGGCTGCGTCGCATGCGCAACTTGTCTTTGATTTTTATTAAATTTTTTGCCGCATATGATTATTTCAACATCCATGAAGTGTTTGAGAGCGAAACTCTGAAGTTTGTTTGCAATGGTCTGAGTCGAAATCTTTGTCATGATTTTATGACCTTATTTCTGCCAAAAAATGAAACTCGAGAAATGCCGGCTTAGGGGTGAACTGTTAAAAATCTTCACTCTCCATGTGCTATACTCGTCCTAGTAAAAGTCCCAGGATTCTGCTAAAATCGGTTTGCCTTAGTTTCTTAGAAGTAAAAGCATTAAAAAATGAGTCAGAGGTGCACGTATGGCTGGTATGCATTATTTCCTGTCAAGTATCTTACAGTTAATGTGCCACAACTCTTAGTATTTTCCACCACTGAACCTATCCAACACTAATTACTGATATGAAGAACTTGCTTGAGAGAACTTGAAAAGTGTTTAAGAGCTATAGGTTCTAGAGAAGACGTTGCAAAATATCAGCCCAAGTAAACAAAGCCAATTATCATTGTCAAGGCTCAAAACACACTAGTAGAGATACTCAAATATGAGTAGGTATTAGAATATCAAATGATAATATTATGACCACAAACTAGCGCAATTTTTATTCTTCATCGTAAGCTGTACCTTTCTTACTTACCATATCCGTCTTCAAGTGGAATTGTATCGGTGATTCTTTTAGGAAGAATTGCCATATCCAAGGCTTCATCGTACTGCGCGGAACTCAGCCTTATCCCTGAGCATGATCACTTTAATTCACAGAGAAAAATCATAAACATACAATTTTTGACCGCTTCAGGACTAAGTTCACCGAGGTAGAATAGTGGAGGAGCGGGTCCCTGAAAAAATTATCATGACCTGAACTAATGTTTCTCTGTCAACCTGGCAGCTTATAACAACATGCTTGAAACTGGGATGTATAAAATTATATTGAGAAGTGCAGTTCGAAAACTTGCACGTCAAACATCTCCACGAATCAGTTGCCTAAAATGGGCAGCATTAGAGCATAAAATGCGAATAAGAAGTAGACAAATAGTTACTGGCGATCCTTTTGTGGAATACATATGCGAATTGGTCGGTTTTGGTGCCCATGCTGAGAAGTAACTGCAAGGAGGTGCTCAAACCGGGTATGCTGTTGTGCGTAAGTAATATTACGTATTATCAAATCTCTTTTTTGAGTACCTTTCCTGGCGGCTAGAGTTAGAATTTTGAATGCTTTCACAGCATAAATTTATTATTGCGCTTACAAAGAAGAGCTGATTAAGATGAGATCCTAGCTTACATAGGTTGAAAAGGAATCAAGGTGGAGTCTGGCACCACACAGGGCACTATGTGTCAATAGCGTACGATCGTGAGCGCTTCAAAGCTTGTCGTACTTGGCGCACAGACTGGATTTGGCTTCAGGTCGGATAAAAGCACAAATCGATCTCGAGCCATTCTCAGTCCTCTATCCTCTACGAGCAGGTACGAGAGGTCGGCACGCATCTTTTTTACGATACATTCAACAAATAGAGTACAATGCTTTCGTTTTAATTTGACATTGTCTGTCAGAACCGTACCATTTATATCTTCTTCATCTTCGAATCATTCTTCTCAAGGCTACATAGTGTCCTAATTTTTGCTTGAAATGAAATTCGGCACCGTGTCAGACGTCCTGCACCGCTGGAGATATTCGATCGACTGGAGGAGGGTTACCATTTTTCGTCGAAGCGAAAGTGCTTCTTTGACTAGAGGAAACAGCCGTGGAGGAATATCAGTAAGTAGCTTCCAAATTTCCTCTTTGTTAAACCTCGGCATTGTTAGTGTAAGTGTTAATAGGCTAGTAAGCCGACCGAGGTTAGTAGATATCTTACCTAGATAATATCGTTATTGTTACTGGAGGCCTGATGTTTCGACTGTCAGTCTTCTTCGGAAGCCTAAAGTGGTAAGAGATTCAAAGGTTTTATATTCTACCTCACCACAAACCTCCTTCCATCCCCGGCACCAACAGAAAATACCTCTTTGCCTTCCTTTCGTTTCTGACGCAACTAGTGCTGCAGTACGACGACGCATTAACCGTGCGAACTTGAACAATCATTTTAGTTGATATTCCAAGTGACAACATCAGGAAGCGGCTGGTTCGTAACAGACTATATGACAACTACTTCAGAATCCAAGACTGTATGGTTTGTCATCCGGTAAGTTGGTGATTGTGGCAGGACCAGTGTAATCTATGAGATTACATGTATCGAGTGCAGTTCCACCAACATCGGAGAGACTGGAAGGCCTCTAGTAAAAAGAACATCTTGCCAGCAAAAGATGGAGAAGTCTTACCACACCACAGAGCTGAATCGCGTGGTGGTAAGGACTTCAAAATCAAACGTACTATACTGGCATACGAATACGATACTGCTAGCAGAAAAGCTCTCCAGGCACTCTGGATTTTCGCGAGAAACTCATGCATGAACGGCAGAAATAAGTGAGCATCAATCACGAATGACTTTATGCCTTTTACGGCAGTATGTGAGTTAAAGAGTCCCGTTTAATTAATATCAATAAGGTTTGCACTGTATTCATTATTGTGCTAGTGGCACGAAGGACAGCCGCATCTAACAATTGGGGCGGTATTCATCAATCTCCTGTTATGAAGGGGTTTCCTTATAGGTGACAGCCCATACGGGCGCGGAGACTGGCGCCCGCGATATATGAAGCGAAGCTGGTGACCGGGCTCCTGTCTATTGAAGAATGTGGTCCGATCTGGCAACTTTGGCTATGTCGGGCACGGCCGTCGGGCAGCATCCCCATCTCGACGAGTCGGAAGAATCGAGGCTCGTCAGGGATGGAAGAGGTTGGGGAAGAACATACGGAATTTCTTATTGCTTCAAGCCTCTAAAGAAAACGGATAGTCGAAACGTCAGGCCGCCACTAACAATAAAGATCTACCAACCTCGGTCGGCTTACTAACCTTTTAACACTTACACTAACAATGCCGAGGTTTACAAAAGAGGAAAATTCAAAGCTATTTTGATTACTGTTTTTAAGTGTTTCTGGGTGATTTGCAGAAGGTCTATGGTATTATGCAATGCATATTATTGAGATAGCAAATCTATTAGGTTGTTCTAAAAACTTCTTTTCTAGATAAATCAAACTGTCTTGGTTCTTCGGCAAATTCAAAGCATTATTCGACGAGCAAAGCAAACTTTACGAAATGGAAATCAAAGATGCTCCTAAGTCCTAGTAGTCCAGTTAAAATTTGAAGCCAAAATCGAAAAAAAAATTTATTATTTGAAAAATGGATTTTTGCTCTTTCACTATGTGGTCGTATACTAAAAACCTTAGCAAGTATAACTTCAAGATATTAGATCTGTATGTGCCCTGATAATCGAAGAATACCAAGCTTGACACAAGAACTCAAAAAAAAAACAATTCTGCATCTTCGGGCTAAATTTATCTCTTAATTTTGCATCCCGGAAAAAATCCATCAAATGCATTTTTGGGTAGTACTATATGTACTGTACTATCATGATCGAGTTAGAGGTCAGTACGAGTTTTTGGATGGGGATCCGATTGTCAAAGTAATTGGAAAATTTTGATTTTTGGTTTCAAGTTTTACCGGAACAAATTGGCAGATCTTTGGTGGTCATTTTGAAGGGCTTGCTTTGCGTTATTGAATGATAGCTAGGTGTGCCAGGAGAAGAAAAACAATTTGATTTGTTTAACAAAAGGGGTTTACTTTTGAGACAATCTAATGATTCGCTTAGTGACAAAATTTCCAGTTTTGATGAAGTTTCCTCAAGGCAAAGTATAAGCTCAGCGCTGCGAGACCCTTTTCGAGTCCCTAACATAATATTCTAGTAATGATGAGTGATCGGTACTTTGCATTATACTCTACTGTAAAAATTCTGTGATAAAGGCGCTCTACAGTATGAGACTGCGTAAGACAGGCGAGCAAAAGATTTATTTCGAATTAAACGATAAAGACATTTTCTGGACATTTCGTTCTCTTCTCTATCAAAGGCGCGTATCCACATTCTTGAGTTAGCTTGTGCATTATCAGCTGAAAATGCAGGCTTTGTTGAGGTCTTGTGACCTCAGTATGCCGTGCATTTGCCGCTGATATGATCATCGAAGAACCATATAATCATTTGTGATAAGTTTGAGACTGTAATTTGAAAACCCACATTGTATCTGACACCCTGTCGTACGCCAAAATACTCTTGACATCAAAATTGCCTAATGAGAGAAACGATAATTTTGCTGTTTGTATACTCGTGGAGTTCTCGAAAACTCTATGTTAATTGGAGAGTGAACTCATTAGAACGCAGACTCACCTTGATGATGAGTTTTGCAATATGCTGATATGTGTTGCTATCAGGCGTTGCACGCGGCAGAAGTACATATATCGCATTGTCGCTACGCACGCCCATAAAATCAAATCTCTCAGCGTACATTTTCTTTGGATATTCGTAATCAAAAACCTTAAAGGTAAGCGAGTCATTTTATTCATAGAATTGCAAAATAAAGGTCATTTTAGACCATCTAACTAGCGGTTACCTACCACTTGGCAAGTTGCTGACTCGTAATCGCATACAGCTATAGAGATGTGAGTGTTATATCTATTAGCAATTATCGTGACAAGATATTCATGGTTATTCATGACAACCCAAAAAAAGTGTAGAATGTGACAATATTCACTAAATCTTGAGTCCATTAAACAAATTTTGCAGCTTCTTGCTCACTTTTCATTCTTTAGCTGAGCTTTCATATGTTTGGTTGCACGAATCTTTTTATCCCAAATACTGACAATAAATTTTGGCAGCAGCTCCTCATACGACATCGCGTATCTCATCTCTACTACTTTTGGATAGCTTTTTCCATCAATATAGCTGTAAGTAGATGATATGTTTGATTCATGTATTCATTACTTTGATTCATGCTGACCTTATCATGTGGACCTTCTTCTCGTCAGGGTGAACATCAAGACTGGCTATTGCAACTTTCTCACCTTTCGGAGACCACACAATAGCATAAAATGGACAGAGTAAAAATACCTTTTCAGCAGTTGAAAAATCTCAAGTCCAAGACTAAAACCGGGCGAGGAATCAAACAGATTCCGCGCGCAAATACAGGTAGTGTAAATAGTGAATTTTTGATTATTCCAACTTCGCCATTTGCGAAAACTGTTTATGCTTCAATGTTTCGAGTGCCATTCGAGGCTGATGGTCACCAACATACCCCACTTCATTTACTCCCGTTCGGGTCCCGGCCTTCTGCCGACGTAAAAATGAAATAAATTCTCCGTTTATAAACTTGCAAATTTTGAGAGCTTTCAAGAATCATCTCAGTTGACCTTTCGCGGTATTGAATACGGTAATGCCAGATGAGGCAGGTGGATTTGGGTTTTTTAAATCTACATGTTATCTTAAAAATTTGGGAAACTATTTGATTTGATTTATAACGATATTTGTAATCCACTACGCCGAGATCTTGAGTTATTTAAAATCGTGAGACAAACATTAATGTGATACAAAAGTAGAGGCGTACTTAAAGAACAGCAGTTTTCCGAATAAAAAGAATTGAGCAATGCCTTACCTTTGCGAAGGTCAATGGATTTTGACTTCTGAATCAAGGTTTGTATCTGGAGAAAAATAAAAGCTTGTCAACGAAACGAATTTTGAACTATGCAGCAGCTCCGCGATAGATACAGGAGCTACCAAAAATTTCTGCGCAGGCATGAGAAAGGTCGCCGAACCTGCGATGGTTTGCTTATCTTGGTGCTTTGGGAATATCTAGCACCCAATCTTGGAATACATATTGATAATTCTCTGATTAACCAGCGAAAGAGCTTTGTTTTAACAGTAAACGTCTGAAAGACCTTATAACGCTCTATACAGAGTGTCCCAAAAGATGTGCACACTGTTTGTTCGTTAATTACTCTCTCGCTTTCATGTCTTTTGCCGAGCTTGAGGTACCAATCTGTAGAGCGAGGATCTTAGATATACAGTATTAAGCAAAACTCTAATCTCTTTTTGCTACTGTGGGATTACGGTGTGAACTCCCAGCATACAGCATCACTGTGGAATAAGCCTTTCGATGAAATAAATTTTAACAAAAGTCTAAAAAATTGCGTAGCAAGGTTTTCAGGCGTGCTGATTTAACTACATAACCTTCCATCAGTTTTTCGAGCTTTCTTGATGGCGTGTTCACATTTATGCTGAACAATGGAAAATCAGCTGTTACCCTAAATCTGAAATAACTCATGAAAGAAACAGTGTACTGACGTGCAGTTTTCATATTTAGAATCAGCGACTACGAATAACCCAGTCCAAGAGTTTCTGGCTTATTTGGCTTTCTTCTAAGGCGAATACAGCTTTCCATTGCTTAAAATCCTCCTCGAAATACCTACCGTAATCCTACAGTAATGAAAAGCGGCTGATAAGTCCCTCCATACTACATATCTATGTTTATCCTCGCTCTTCAGAATGGTACCTCAAGCTCGGCAAAAGACATGAAGGCAAGAGAGTTATTGACAATCAAACAGTGTGCACATCATTTTGGGACACCCTGTATATTAGGTTTAATTAAGTTTTGCAGCTTTCATAACTTGTCACTTTTGCACGTGATACTTCCAAATTGTAGCAATGTTTAGACTTTGATGTGAGCTGCAAATGCAGCAATATGTGCCAGATTCTGGCAACGCGTGTAAAAGGTACTATGGCTGTACGGTAAAAAGGAAAAAATCACGGAGAGAAAAGGGGGGCGAGATGCACGAGCAAAGAGGAGTGAGGCGCAGTACAAACCGTGTGCACTCTCCGCAATCTGCGTGGACAGCCTACACCATACTGCCCGAGCTCACTCTTGTGGCCGTATTCATCAACGAACCCCGAGGGTTAAACTAACCCTGGAGGGTTAAGCTTACGTGATTCATCGGGGTTAATTTAACCCTAGCTCATAGCAGGGTTAACTCTACCCTAACATTCCATACAAACATTTCGCATGTAATAGTTTATGGAAAACGATCAACGAGTATTGTAGTATTTAGTATTGATTGTTGTTATAGTATTTAGTTTCGACTTCGTTTTATGTTTATATTCGAAGTACATAAAACGCTGACTTCGCGAGAAAAAGAAATCTAGCTTTGGTGACAAATGAATGCGACGAGGAAAAATGGCATTCCACTCTGACAAGTGCCAAAAAAGAAGAACCCCTTTATAATAACACGCATTGACCTATAAAAGAGTAGCACAAGCCCGGTATAAAACGAATTGCGCAAAAGTAGAACTTACACTGCACAATTGCACACATGAAAATAAACTGCTGTAAGATTGGATGCTGCACAAGTATGCTAGAGATGTATTATGAAAACTAGTGTTAGAAGCTTATTCGTTGACTATACTACTATAACAGTGAAAGAATAGAAGTATAAAGTGAATTTAGCCCGTACTTAGGCATTCTGTGATTTGAGTTTGCACAGCGCATGCGTACCTGACGCCTTAACCCTCCAGGGTTAGTTTAACCCTCGGGGTTGATGAATACGGCCACAGGTTCGTTGATCGATACGGGTAGATCGCGTTCCGTGGTAAACCCCAGCCTATGGTTGATGAATACGGCCAATGAACCCTAAGGGTTAAACTAACCCTGGAGGGTAAGCTTAACCTTCAGGGTTCGTTGATGAATACGGCCATAGGACACTACGTGGACTCAAGTACGTGTCGGACGCGGAAGTCGCGATTTCAACAGAACGGGCTTTGCTGCCCGTTTGAGCCGTACACCCCAAACTTTCATAAATCATGAGTTGGACGCTCTCGCGTGTTCGGGCCGTGTATAATTTGCAACAAGTCCGAGCAACGAGCGGGAGATATATAGCGCCTTGGAGTCGAAAATTATTGAATCATAAGCAAAATGAAGCCAATGCAAGTAGATTCGAACATAAAGACAGAAATGAAAAGAATACATAAGTCCTCCTTTCTTTAAACCTTGGCATGTTGATAGTATATCGTTTGATTTTTCTGTGCCACAACAGGTTTTTACCGGAACTCTTTATCGAGCCTTACGTTTCGGCGGAAAACGCCGTTCTCAGAGGCCTAAGCGATTCAATCACTTCCATCAAACGCTTATGCGATCAACCAACTCGTACGTTTGATTCGTCAAAAGTGATCGGAGTCTAGCCTCCACGCCGAATTAACTTACCAAGACTACAGTGGCCGTATTCATCAACGAACCCCGAGGGTCAAACTAACCCTGGAGGGTTAGTTTAACCCTGGAAAGCGTTTAACCCGTATTCATGAAATACAGGGTAGGCTCAACCCTGAGGGTTAAATCTAACCTTGAGGGTTAATTTTACCCCGAAAGCGACTAACCCGTATTCATCAACGAACCGTGAGGGTTAAACTAACCCTGGAGGGTTAAACTTACGTGATTCATCAGGGTTAATTTAACCCTAGCTCAGAGCAAGGTTAGCTCTACCCTAACACTTCAACACTTCATACAAACATTTACTCGCGTCTAATAGTTTATGGAAAACGATCAACGAGCGTTGTAGTATCTAGTATGTGTTGTTGTTATAGTATTTAGTTTCGACTTCGTTTTATGTTCATATTCGAAGTACATGAAACACTGACTTCGCGAGAAAAAGGATTCTAGCTTTGGTGACAAATGAATGCGACGAGGAAAAATGGCATTCCACTCTGACAAGTGTCAAAACAGAAGAACCCCTCTATACTAACACGCATTGACCCCTAAAAAAGTAGCACAAGCCCGATATAAAACGAACTGCGCAAAAGTAGAACTTACACTGCACAATTGCACGCATGAAAATAAACTCACGCTATAAGATTGGATGCTGCACAAGTATGCTAGAGATGTTTTGAAAAAACTAGTGTTAGAAGCTTATTTGTTGACTATACTACTATAACAGTGAAAAAATAGAAGTATAAAGTGAATTTAGCCCGTACTTAGGCATTCTGTGATGTGAGTTTGCACAGCGCATGCGTAACTGACGCCTTGACCCTCCAGGGTTAGTTTAACCCTCAGGGTTGATGAATACGGCCACAGGTTCGTTGATCGATACGGGTAGATCGCGTTACGTGGTAAACCCTAGCCTATGGTTGATGAATACGGCCAATGAACCCTGAGGGTTAAACTAACCCTGGAGGGTAAGCTTAACCCTCAGGGTTCGTTGATGAATACGGCCACAGAAGAGCACGACAAAGGTTTTTCGACCGCCTACAGGATATGGTGACAATGAACAGTCCAGCTGAGTTGGACATGTTTATGTAGCTGTAGGTTATCTAGAAATCGCAAAAGAACGACCAGGGTCACTGTTTAGGCAACGTTAACATCTCTGCTCACGCTGTAGACCTACTAAGCTTGGGACCATCCTTTGCTCCAACGCAAAACGTTGATTGTAAGGTCTGGTTTTCAGCAAAGTACTAGGCTCTTTGCAAAGATTTAGAGATCAGCAACGGACCAAGGTCAGGCTTGATACCAGCCCACAAGCTTCTGTTCTTTGTAGAAGACTCAATACCTCAAAACCTTTTCCGTCGTTGGTCTAAAAAGAACCCGAACCCTGTCACGAAGCTGATGTTAAATTTCGTATACTGTCGGCTGGCATTCTGAACATTTTGAATAAAAGTCGCAGTATCAAACAATCTAATTTAACTCACGCACAAAGGCAAAGATTCGAGAAGCTACGTGAACTTACGTCTAATGGAACCCTCCGACTTTCGATCAGCGACAAAGGAAGCGAATTTGTTATCATGCCCCAGACACTGGACCGTGATATCGCCGAATATCACTTATCCAATGACTCAGTATATCGTCGCTCAACAGAGAAAGAATTTCTTTCTCAATGCAAACGGCTGAACCATAAGTGCTCAGATAATCGCCGGGGGCAGGCGGCCATGCCATTTTTGGGCAAGCGGACACCGGAAAAATAGTTCGCTATTCTTGCGGTCCGCTTGCAGGTATTTGAAAGAATTTTAGCGAAATTTTGGACGAATGCTTGAAGAACAATTGCAGTTTCCTTGCAGATTAGATGCGGCGCAGTGGCCGCATTCTCGCGGACTTTCCGAGAGAATATGCAGAATTTCCGGGGGCCGCACGGTCCTTTGTGAAGGACCGCGCGGCCCCCAGGTACTTTCCGCTGAGAGAAAGTACCTCAAACTTGAGTAATTAAACCATCAATGACTCTTCTGCCGCCTAGAGTCTCACCTTTGCTCGACGTACACCCGAAACTGCTTAAAAACCGTCCGAGCGCCAGCTGAAAATTTGACCAGCGCTCGCTGAAAAAGATTATTTGACGAGCGTCTGCAGAAAATTCTGTGCTGCTGCCCGCTGGCAGAACATTAGCCAGTAAAGGGAGTGCCGCCCGCTGAAGGTTTGGCCACGCCCCAAAATTCTGCTGAGCGCCTGCGGAAAAACGCGAGTTTGCGGACCGCCTGCCCGGGGCGATTGTCTGAGTGGATGGTGATTGGCAAGCAAGCCGGTTTAGAAGAAAGGTTCCTCAGTCGGCTCAAGACTGAAAATCCGATCTGCCCTGTCTTCTACAGCCTCGTTAAAACGCATAAGTTCTCGACCGATCCACGAAATGTGTCAGCTGCAAATTGTAAAATTCGACCAATCATCAGTTGCGTTAGAGGGCCGACAGACAGAGTTGCATGGTTCCTGAACAAGATTGTTAGCCAACTCTTGAGTACGATTCCCGCTTATCTGCCGAATACCAATCGCTTCCTTGAACAATTGCGCAATACGATTTTCGATCAGCATTGTGTAATAGAGTCTTTTGATGTGGAGTCATTACACACAAATGTGTCTAATAATGACGCCCTAGCACCTTCTGAGCTCCTCGATTCACATATCACGAATATGGAAATCTACGGACTCAGCAAAGTACGCATCATTACTCTTATCAAGGAATGCCTTGGATGTAATATCTTCAGATGGTCGGGCAAGTATTTCTAACAACTAAGAGTGCTGGCGATGAGACAAAGACTAGCTCCGATCCTTGCTATCTGCTTTATGAGCAAGATAGAAGAGCCCGTATTAACGCGACGTCCCCTTTTACTGCCGCTATATAGACGATTGTTTCATTGTCACATCGATTCAGTCCGAAATGGATGAGTGCTTCAAGATCTTCATTGAACAATCGCAGTACATTTGCTTGACCAGAGAAGAACCACACGATGGCTGGCTACCCTTTCTCAATACACAGGTGATGTTGGCTAAAGGCGCTGTACACATCAAATGGTATCGGAAAGAGAGCAGCAAGAACATCATTCTGCAAGCGACCTCTGCTTATCCAATTGCTGAAACATGCGGTCCGCAGTCCGCAACATGTTCAGAACAGCAAGCAGCGTTTGCAGCGGCGAAAGTGAAAGACTTGAGTTTTTGAAATGGCACGCGTCATCGTTTCCAACAATGGATCCCCACTGCAGCCCAGAACCTCCAAGCGAACACGCATGAACGCAAGCAGCTGAAGTCGAACACGCATTTCTTTGCGCTTGCCGTTCATATCCGACAGAGTGACCAATGCAGTTAGGCGATGTATAGCGCAAGCGCAGTTGGAGGATGATGTTGTCTCAGTGAATAACCACAAGACAGCATCAGAAAACAACTGGCTCGAAATCGATTGTACGATAAAGCTTGAAAGTTGCAAAACTGCATTGTGTGCACAAATGGAAGGTCAGGGGATTGCTCACGAGTGGTGTAGTTTATCAGTTGGAATGTCAAACATGCCGGGCCATTTACATCGGTGAGATCGGTCGATCACTTTCAGTGCGTGCAAATGAACATCTGGCCAGCAAACGAAGACAGAGTTTCGTGAGCTCACTGGGGAAACATAGGAAGGAGGACCATGAAGGCGAAGATTTTGAAATATGTTGTAAGATATGGCAGTCGAGGATAACATCTCAGCTCGGAAAGCGTTGGAAGCCGCTTACATTCTTGCTCGATATCCGAAAATGAATAACAAGAATGAACAGTTGTCAATCACAAATGACTTTAAGCCGTTCCTATCATTTTTTGGTTTCTATAACCTACAGCTACATAAACATGTCCAACTCAGCTGGACTGTTCATTGTCACCATATCCTGTAGGCGACCGAAAGAGCTTTTGTCGTGCTTTTCTGTAGAACTTTTGGTAAGTTAATTCGGCATGGAGGCTAGACTCCGATCACTTTAGACGAATCAAACGTACGAGTTGGTTAAAGCGTTTGATCGCATGAAGCGTTTGATGGAAGTGATTGAATTGCTTTCAGGCCTCTGAGGACGGCGTTTTTCCGCCGAAACGCAAAGCTCAATAAAGAGTTCCGGTAAAAACCTGTTGTGGCATAGAAAAATTAAACAAAAAGAATACTGTTAGACCTTGACTCGTAAAGTTCAAATAAGCCGCGAATTTCAAAGGAAACCAGCGAGTTGGCGTCCGTGAAAAAATGAGTAAGCCGCTGCAGTCAACCCTTCCGAAATACGTAAATGACCACGTAGTCGAACTGAGACTTTGCACGTTGTAGTCCTTCCTTCTGCACACAAATACCATAATCATTTGTCAAAGACGCCTCTTATGATTAAGATAAGATATATCGTAAATTCACCGTAACCTGGCAAACATGGTCCTACCTAAATGGGAGTTGAGTACCAACCGCACCACCACTACTGGCGTGACAAACAAACTAGAAGCTATACTGCAACTAAATCTGTAAATTATGCCTTAGCATGGTCACTATATTTCTAACTTTCATGGCAGAGTCTGGCGTAACCTTTGGCAACGGTCACTATGACGTACACGCTCACGACAAGTTACATACAATTTAAACATTGCCAAATCGCGTACAGTATGCCTGAGGCATAAGGTAGAAAAAGCAACCATTAAGCTCAACGAAACAAAACGCACAGATCTATCACAAAAAATATTAGAATATAAAGCTGTAAGGCCTAAGGTATACTTCACGCGATTTAGCCTAATCGCCGCTTTCACGCAACTTGGCGATTTGCCAGATTTCTTCATATTTATCGTCGGCGCTTTTCGAACGCATAGGCGGGTAGCTTGTGTAAGTTGCTGCAATCGGGTTAAGTTCTGACCAAAGGAAACGCATTAACGACGAATTACAAAGAGTCGCTGTTGTGCCATATCGCGCAGCGACAGCAATCGCGCGAGGTATGCCTTAGGCCTAAATTGTCAGGGCAAGTCATATTAATATAAAAGTAAACCTACTTTTTCCTCGAAATCATATTGCTCACTCTCGTGGATTCCATGAAGCCTATCCATGCGAAAGAGATCAAAAACGCCGTGCACTACGTTTGGTCCCTCATCAGTTATCTGTATAACTTCGGTTGAATCTACACTTTCTGAATAGTATACATGACCATCTTGCCAGAAAGTCTAAAGTAATGAGTTTTTCCGTGTAAAAACGCTCGTAAAGCTAGCTTGTTACTAACGTAATCATGTCCGACAGGATTGAATTTAAAGTAAGCTTGGCGTTCTTTATCCTGCTTGTTGACGCCTACTCTATGCACCAATCTTTGAAATTTGTTAAATAAGTGCGTCGAATTGACTTGAATATACACTTACAGCGTTTCTCTGTCAAGAATTGACAATGATTCCGTAAAATCCAGCGACAGCTCTTCCTAAAAGGTAAGTGTACCCAAAATATTCAAAATATTCCCAATGTTCACCTTTTCAGCTTCGCGCTGCGCGTAAACGACGTAACGCATATCGGATGAAACTTTGATTTTACTGTTCTCTTCCTGCAAAACGAAAAATTGTATTCATAGAAAAAAGCAAATGATTTCTGTCATGCTTTCTGTTTATGAATCTCAAAGCTTATTGATTTCACACCTTTGATACAACTAGATCAAATTTAATCAAAGCCATAATCGGCGCCACGACCGGCATAGCTCGCATTTTTTCATACTTTCTGCTGCTTGTTTTCTGCATCATCTATTCTCAGTGGCAGTCCGCCGACATCACAAAACGATGAGTGAAATAGGTTACAAGCAGGGTCAAGCGTGGGGTGCGGCACGCCGCATCTGGGGGTCGTATTGAGGAGTCAAAAGGGGAGGGGGTCGTAGTTGGGTTATCTGATGATAGTGATAACATGATATTGGTATCCTATTCATAATTAGCATGTCAAATAACCCCTGTAGACAAAGTGTGAGCGAATTCTGAAGATTCAAGATACTAGGCTACCTAAGTGAAATGGTCAAATTCCAACATGGTTAACTTTGTTTCAAAGGTAAATTAGCTATCCGTTTTTGCATCAAGACAAAGCACTACTCGTTCTTTGTCCACCTCAGGAATACCGCTTCAGAAGACCTTCAAACTCTGGAATTAGAAGCCAACCAAAATCTCGTTTTTCCCATTTTTCGCTTTTGATCGCTGTGCTTTCACCAAATATCAAGAGCTAAGAAGACGAATCAGGCTCCAAACAGTCCTATGGAATCTACAAGGCTTAGGCTATCGACTCATATAAATACTGTCCGCTAAAATTGTTTTTTTGATATAGTTAATGGAGTGCGGCACACCCCTAAGGGGGGAGGCAGGGGGGGGGGGACATCCCATTAACTTACCCTTAAAGTCGTTAAATGTCTACGATTTTAATGTCGTTGCTACCGCTCAACCTTCTTCTCTCTATAGTACGATTTTCATCCAAAACTTTCCCGCAGAGAATGAGATGTAGCGCTTTTTCTGCTTATTACCATCCATCGTGCGGCTTTCAAAATATCGGATTACGGTAGCACGCAAATTCATCTTGCCGCCTTCTGCGTTAATGCGTAACGGATGCAGAAAGGCGGCAAGCTAAATAATTCGGATGCCTTCCATTGTTTTGCGACAGTTTTAGAATTTGTACTTCTTTTTGTCGGTTTCCTTATATGAAGCCTTTCTTTTAGCATCGAGACCTTACAAGGATAATGGGACGACAAATGTACAGTCTGTTTCTAAATTCGTCCCAAAAATGGAATGGCGCTTACAGTTTGGTTTTCCATAATTAGAGGGGTCTTTTTTGTTTCATGCAATCTGACATTCAAAAGAGTAAGTTTTTCTTCGCACAAAACTAGCTGTGCTTTGGGCAAGCTATACAGTGTGCTTTTTATGTGTTATTTCTCAATGCGATATAGTTTCGAAATGCCCTGATGAGGCGATTTCCGCCATCTCTTTCAAAACGGTCTCGATTTGTTTTATCCAAGAACCTTTTCTGTTCCTAGCTCTTTGGTGAGTCGAAAACTAGTATACTTTCGCAAGATTGCAACTCTGCTTTACTAGTTTTATGCATTTTGGAATGGCCTGTAATGTGAAGAGCTCATACGTTACCTGATGCATAACTTTAGTGTAAGTGCGTATAGTCTGGACCTTGTCTTCACTTGTTATATGGAAAAAAAGCGAGTTCTTCAACTTTTTTAAGACTCACGGGGTTTCAGTTATATTTCTCGAAGACGGTACTATAGAGGCTTTTTGCTTGGCAGCGTGAATCTTTCGAAAATGCAATCCTGGTATTGGAGGGGGGTCGTTTTCGAGACAACTCAGGGGGGGGGGGGTCGTATTCGGCCATTCAGTGCCACACCTCTTGCTCTACCCTGGTTATAAGTTCTTTTCAAAACTCCCCACCATGGTAGCATTTGGACATTGTCAGCGAAGGCAGAACAAACTAACAGAAAATCGGAAACCCTTTTTTTTCAGAATGACATCTGCACATATATATCCCAATTAACAAAATGGTGGTGAATGAAAGGTGAATGCAATGAATGCTGCTACTACAATGTTGTCCCATCAGCGTCTTGAGCGTTATTATCTTATGTCACTGTTACTTATCTCGTACTCAGCGTATTGAAAGGAACTTTAGGGCAAATCTAACGCATGGGATCGTAAGTGGAAACCGATTTTTGGAGAACTTGAGACACTGCTCCCAGCTAAGAGCCTTTGATTGTCTAAGTAGAGAGTATTTGTTTAAATTTGTAAGCGTAGGTGCATAGGAACTCACGCGAAAGAGCTATGTTATGAGAACAAGTTATAAGACACAGATAAAGGATTAATATGTTATGAGAATAAGACCAGCTGTTACAGATATGAGGACGATACACATTCCGCACTATGGTACAGTTGTGACCGTGGAATTTGTCCAAAATTGCGGGTTTTCGGGATTCGCGATGTTTGCGGGTTTCGCGGCTTCACGGGATTTGCGGGATTTGCGGGACTTGCGGGATTTAGCTATAACTTCTTTTAAATCCACTTTATTTGCAATCTGCGTGTAGATTTGGCTTCAGCTTGATGAGACGAATCGTTTGATATATAGTATGTCCGTAAATCGTGGTGAGGGGGTAGACTTTCAATAATACCTTGTTGTTCTCTATGTTAAGGCTTTTGTGAACAGTTATCACAACGTTGATCGCGAATAGCAGGTTTTGGTACAAAGTTCTCATTATCGAAAACTATCGTGAAAAATTGGGCAGTTTTGATCTACCCTTATCACTGATATAAGCATTTTATCATTTATCACTGATAATATCACATTTTTGGATCATTTTTTGCATAGGGTGAGGAAAGTACTGTAGGAAAAGCCGTGTGAATTTCTATCGCTCTTTCTCTCATTATAAGTGATCTACAGGCTTTTCTAGTTCTATTGCTCGGTGCAATTGGTAGATCCCTCGCTGCAGCAATCGATCGATTTATCGGCACATGCCATTGCTGCCAATTCTTACCTAGAATGGCATTTTTGCTTCAACTCGCTTCACGCCGAAGCCTGAGCTGAAATTCTGCACCTATATGGAAGATGAACGTGGAAATCGACCGCATGAATTTAAGCCATTCTTATCTGTCGTTGTCATTGATATCATCATTTTATCATTTATCACTGACGACACAAAATTGGATCATTTTTGATATACAATAAGAAATGTACTTTAGAAAACGCTGTGTGAGTTTTTACCGCTCTATCTCTTATAGTACAAAACCACTCACAGAACATGCAAAATTTCCGGGAATTCCGCGAATTTCATGTGAATCACGCAAATTACGCAGGGCCATAACTTCTTTGCGAATCAGTATATTCAAAATCCGAAAACAACGTTGTATTCAGCTCGTCAAGGCAAATCTTTTGATATACAGGTTGTCTCCAATATCCTGTTTTCAATAATCTTGAATTTGCATGCCGACGCCTTTTCGCATGGGTGTAACGCAACAAGCATCATACATAGGAGACTGCCGTGGGCACCGCTCGATAGTACTCTTTCACTAGATTATCGTGCGCTAAACAGCAGCCGAAGACTCTCTTTCAAAAGAGATAGAAGAGCTGTTAAACTCTGGAAAAATTAAGCTGTTCCAAGTTCTACTAGCCGTAACTTTCTTTAGAATGAACATTTTCGAAATCAGAAAGCAGATTTGTGTTCATCTTGTCAAGTCGAATCTTACTGTATACAGCATGTCCTTGAAATTTCGTTTTCAATTTTTTCAAAATTTATTCAAAAGCGTATATTCACAAGGTTGCAACGCAGCGCACATCAAACATAAAAGACTCTATTAAGCACTATTGGATTGTGCTGCTTCCGCAGATTATCGAGCGCTAAGAAGCAACCGGAGAATCTTCTTGAAAAAAGATAGAAGAGCTGGTGATTCTGGAAAATCGTGTTGTCTCAAATTTTGCCCACAGTGACCCTAAAATGAGAAGCTCTACTGCTAAGCAGATGTGATTTTCGTAATCAGCAGGTCAGATAACCTCTATGAGCAAGTTTTCAAAGAAACTTGGGTGATTTGATTTTTTCTCGTTCTACGCCCTAAAGCTTGCCGATGGGTTTTGGTCAAAATGTCGATGATCTTGGATTGTAAAGAAACTTCGCCCAAAGAGGTTTTCGAACACGCTGTTTACGAAAATTGGTCTTGAAGAAGAGACAGGGTCTTTTTGTAGAGATATTGTGAGGTGACTGTAACTGACAAGGGAAGGAAGGTTGGTCGAAGTGACCTTCTAGAATGTGATGTACGCCTTCTTGTAGAGTTTGGAACGCTGATTCCAAATCTACCTCTGCTATCTGCTGCGGGCTTCTGGGCGAGGAGTTATGAAGGTTTTTGTGAGTAAAAAGTCAAATGCAAAATTAGTGGGAAGTCGGTTGCAACATTTTTTCCAGGGCTTAACTGATAGTCGGGTCACTCGGTGCAATAAACATTCTTGATTAAAATATACCAACTCGCTGCTGACCCATTTGAAGGTTAGGAGAAGGTTACGACTGATTTCACACTAATCTTACATTTGAATTTTTACTCACAAAAATATTCATAACTCCTCGCCCAGAAGCCCGCAGCAGATAGCAGAGGGAGATTTGAAATCAGCGTTCCAAACTCTACAAGAAGGTGTACATCACATTCTAGAAGGCCACTTCGACCAACCTTCCTTTCCTTGTGAGTCACGAAGTTCGTAAATTTGCCTGCACTTTTCGCGAATTCGTCAGAAAACTTGCCTGCTTGCTTTTCCAAGTCAAAATCACTGGGAACTGTGCTATCAAAAGGTGCATGCTCAGGCTCCAGTCTATAAAGCTCGCCGAGTTACGAGCCTACGAAAACACGTCCTCATGAATTTCGCTCAAAATGTAAAGATCGCATATCTCGTCGAAATTCCACCCTCAGTGGTTGTATGACATACTGATCAAATCTGTTCACATTGGCTAATGGTCTTAATGTGCTGGATCTGGAAATTAGGTAGATGTGAGTTCAAGCTACGAAAGTGCTTGGATATTCAAATGAGCAGCTGAAGAATGCGCGACCACCATATTCAACTCAATGGGATCCCTTAGGCGAAGTGAGAATATACAGTCAGAATGTCATACAACCACAACCGTCATACCAAGTCCGTTATGCAGTCGCTTTCAAAGCCCATTAGCAAATATCCCTCCAATGCATACTGCGCATATTGTTGACCTCTTCATTCGATACAGCTAAAGCTATTACCAATGCTTAAGTCTGAGGACGGACTTGTTGGTAAATAGGGGAGGTGTAAGCGTAGGTGCATAGGAACTCACGCGAAAGAGCTATGTTATGAGAACAAGTTATAAGACACAGATAAAGGATTAATATGTTATGAGAATAAGACCAGCTGTTACAGATATGAGGACGATACACATTCCGCACTATGGTATATAAGCCGTCACCGAGAGCACAAGCCGGGGAAATTCCCGTACCAAGCCTCGAGCTGAATACCGACTGGCAGCCCAAGCTACCCCTCCGCTGTTACAGGCTGATGCCTGTCCGACCAGCAACTCAGTGATCCATGTTGTTATATTTGATCGCCTTAGTGTATTGCTTACTTCCTATTTTATGTCATAACAGATAAACTATTAGTATAGCTAGTGTTCCGGTATCTACCAGCCTGACGCTTCCACGGCGCTACGTTGAGTAATTCACAGCCTTCTTTCTCTTCCTTTTCCCATCACAGGTTCAGTATTTTCCATGCATGTTGAGCTTAGGTGCGTTCTCAATTTCATTAAATTTGTTTCGCTTCAGCTAGTTTCTGTGTTGATGACTTCAATACGCTACCCTGTTTAGTACTACTTATGAAGTTACTCTTTTTTCACGTTGGTGCATATTTTCGCTGCGAAAGTAGCAACGTACGCCTCCTGCGGCGATTTATGAAGGAATCTAAGCTACAAGAGTGCGCTGTCGTAAATACGAGATGGTTCCGTTGATGTTTTGTTGAAGAGGTTTTTTTGAAATTCGTGGAGAATGTATGAATTAAGTAATAGTGTGGCCAAGTAAGTTCCTCTTTTTCAAAAGTGCAACTAAGCAGATCAAAATCGTAGTTATTAGATCATCATGACTTATAATAAGCCGCTTATTTGTCGGTCTGTAAGTCTGTCTGTTACAGATATCCCTTTATGCCTCAAAGCCGCGTGCGAACAAGCTTGGGGATTGCAGGCCCTGGAAAGCAAAGCTTTCTGCTTACACAAGTCAGAAAGGCAAAAACGCGAAATCGCTCGGCAAACAAAAGACTTTCGCTCTATGGGGAAGCTTCGCCTGTAAATTTCTTGCTCTGCGACGGGTACGATGCCCTCTCGAGATCGGGTCGCACAGTGGCTCTGTCTCAGCATTGGGGGGGGGTGAGAGAACTGTCTCACTTGTCCAAATTCAGAATGTAAGCAAGCCTGTTTTCGTCGTTGTTGCGTTTTTCAAAGTAGTTTTGGGTGCAAACAAGCCCAGGTAAGCGAGGAAGCTAGACGAGTTTTGCCCAGGCAGTCGCTCTAATGCTGTTCCCTTAATGTCAAAATTTTTGAAAAATTAGAAGTTCGCAGTGTAAGTGGTGTAAAGTCTAGGAGGAACGAAGCGCATTTCTTATTATAATACCTACCAAAAATTTCGCAAAGGTGCAATTTTCCGCGCTACCCTTCCCACTTTCGCAAAGATCCTTGGCACGTTTATACTGAAATCACCGTATAAAGAAAAGTACACATGAAAGCAAAGTTACCAATGACTTCTCGTCAAATAGCACATGAGTTTCGCCGGTTTCCAAAGAAAGGAGTATCTCCTTAGATTTTGATAGAAAAACAACACCATTCTTGTAAAAACCTCTAAAAATGTAGGGCAGAAAACCAGTCAGGACAGTAAACATTTTCAGTTTAATATCTGATGCATCTGTTTCTGGAACCAAAACAAGTTTCGTTTGAGAATTATTAACGCAAGCACAAAAACTGATTTATCGAAGCTAACCATTTTTCTTATCTTCTTTATCGACATGCTCCTCTATGGACGCTGCAACTGGAATTATTAAATTAAGCAGGAGTTGTGCAAATCAATGGTACATTCAAGAGCTCTCATATTTAATCATGATAATTCTTTTCGATATATGCTATGACCAGAGTCAAGCAAGAGGTGTGGCACACGATCGCTGGTTACGACCCCCCCCTCTCTTATTACTGTCTCAATAAGACTCCCTGAACTATATGCTTGACATAGCATTACTTGAAGGCCCTGTAAAACATAACGGGCGGCATATCGGCATCAAGCATAATCGGCGGCGTAAGCTAAATTTGTCTGATTTTATTCAGGAAATTGATTTTGACTGATTTTCTTCCAGAAGACTTGCTTACATCGCTCGTATAGTGTTACCGTTTGCCTGCCGAACCTTTCCCACACCCACTACTACGTGTGTCGCGGGCCTACTCCAGTACCCTGTAACCGACCAACTCCGTCAGTATGTCACTTATCGCGCAGAAAGTCTTCCAGTGATAGCTTTCTCAAGTACCAAACTTGTGATCGGTGGACCTTCACGTCACTCGCTGTTCCGATTTTTACTTTATCCACACGTGGTTCGGGTCCGGTTCACTCATTTTCGTTGTTATTTGGGAATAGCTTGTCTGACCTGACATCTTTTTTGCATCACAATCTTTTGTCTCGGAGTTCTGCTCTCTCCCCCGAATCAGTCGGGCAAATTTCTCTTATTACATCTATTCCCCGCATTATATGCTCAAGTTGAATACTCTAAGAGCACTTTTGCTACAAGCAGGGGGCATGGGACAGACTCCGCCGAGCATCTGCACTGATATTCATACACGGTCTACAGGCTTAACCTCCTTTTACTCACGGAGCTGGACTTGAGCTTTTGGGGATGTTTTGTTATTTTTTACTGTTCATGCTCTACGTATTTTGCTCTTTGTTCCAATTATGGCACGCTTTGTGCGTATTGAATAAATAAATAAATAAATAAAAATATCCGTAATTAGCCATTTAAACCCTGTGGACAATAAAGATACGGGACACCTAAGTGAAATTGCCTTATTCTAGCATGATTAACTTTGTTTCAAAGGTGAAGTAGCTAGCTGTTTTTGCACTCAAGACAACGCACTCCTTCTTTCCCCACCTCAGAAATCTCGCTCCGAAAGATCTTCTAACTTTGGAATCAGAAGCCAACCAAAATTTTTTTTCCTATATTTCGCATTCAATGGCTGTACTTTCACCAAATTACTTTGAGCTAAGAAGAAAAAGTAGGCTCAAATCACTCTTATGAAATTTACGAGGTTTGGGCTATCGATCCATATAAATACGGTTTGCTAAAAATGGTTTCTTGATAAAGTTAATGGGGTGTGGCACCACCTCTAAAAAGCTGTGGATGCCACAGCTGGTCAACTTACTTTCAAACAATCAAATAGCTGCGTTTTTTATATCGTTGTTACTGCTTAAGATGTAATCGTTTTTACTTATCTATGCAAATGTGAAATACTGTTAAAATACTGTGAAAATATGGGACAAGACTGTATATATTCGATAGCCTAAGCCTCATAATCTACATTAAAGTGATTCGAGCCTGATTGGTCTTCTCTAGCCTCAGATATTGGAAACGAAAAATTGAATAAACAAGATTTTGGTTTGCTTTTAATTCCTCAATTTGAAGGCCATTTGAAGTAGGATTTCTAATGTGAGCAAAGAAATAGTAGTTCTTTGTATTAAGCGCAAAAAAGAAGTAGTCAACTTACCAATGAAACAAAGTAACATGTTTGAAAACGACCATCTCTTTAAAGTCGTCCTTTATTCGGAAACCTCAGAATTCGCTGAAACTTGGGCCACAAGGATTATTTTACTTGCTAGTTATAAAACGATGCTCTTATGCTTTATAGGTCTTTAATGCTTACTGTACGTATACGATAATGGGTCAAACATCAATGTGCTAGTATTTTGCATGGCGGGCCTTTTAACATTGTTAACGAATATCATGTTATGCGAACAGCGGAGACCTTGATAATACCCCCCCCCCTCCCTGATTCCTAACTACGACCCCCCAGATGTGGCATGCCACACCCCACGCTTGACCCTGGCTATGACAAGAAACACATGAAGTATATCAAATTAGATCGTATTCGAGTTTTTGCTCTTGCTTTTAAACATTTTGTAGAATTTCCAGTGCCTGCACTGGAACAAACCTATGCCTTCCGTTTTATCGTCTCAGAGTTAGAAGTTTGATTAAGAATGTAGGCTCTTTAAATTATTCAACAAACCCTTTTATTCCATGCTGTCTGTTGTAGATCTGGTCAAAGAATTGCAGCGTAAGAATTCCAAAAGTCAGGCAGCGAACAAGTTCGACTCCACGGCTAATGGCAATACATTTTTGACGAATCACTTGACAGTGACGTAACAAACGTCACTGTCAAGTGATTCAACCCTTTAAGGGCAGTGCCAGACCATCGAATGATAGAATTAAGCTATCGTAAATGATAAAAAATTTTGACTTTTTATTTTTGATTGAGAGAAGTCCGTACAGAGCCAAATACTTCTTGGCGCAGATCAGTTTCTCGTGTTAACATTGTGGATACTTTGTTGTCATTTTCGTGTACTTCGAACCATTCCAACGCTTTGAAAGTCCTTTACATTTTGATGCAGAATGTCCTTCTAATTCACTCAAACTTTCACCTCTCCCTCCATTATGATAGACTTGGCAGCTTATACTATCTATTTTCCTATGTAACATTGGTCTTTGCACAATTTCCTATTGTGCCGTCGGGGCGAACTATACAGTACTCCATTTAGCAGCACTCGTTACCATAAAATCCATTTTGCATTTAATACTACCCTATGGTATCAATTTTATCAACAAACAACATACTTTGTAGTTGGGCTTTAAAATGCATTTTTTATTGCCTTATTACTTTGTCCGAAATGAAAGCATGCAAAGGAATTCTTATCACCTTGCACTAGGATACGATTTCAAGGTGTGACCGTTCTTTGACGTTTTTGTAATTGACTATTACGCGGATTTGTGAATGAAGCCGCCATTCGTAACTATTTACCAATGAAAAAACTTTTATCGCTGTTAAGACTGCTTATTTTCACCTCTGCGAGTGCACTGAGTAAAAAAAGCAGTAACCCTGACTTAGACTTGTTCGTAATATCTTCAGCGGCCTAGAAATTAGTTCCTTAAAAATGGAAGCTTGCGATAAGCCAACGCCTAAGCCAGTGCTTGCAGTATGCCTTAACACGTTGACGACAGTGCCGCGCAATGGTGCGCGGCAGGCAGTCTGTCCCTGCGGACGACGCCGCGCAATGGTGCGCGGCGGCCTTAAATTCAATACTATCTGTCCAATCCTCTCAGTTTTCGTTCATATAATCAATATAGGCTCAGATGTACTTCATGCATTAGCCCCGCCCCTTTTGGCAAACTCCGCCCACTCCTACGCCTCTCACAAGGACCCTTTTTTGTCCATAAAAAGCATGGATGAGGCTGTAGGTGAACGCAAAGACCTCAAGCAACTTTTAGAAAGGCCCCGCCCACCGTCAGGCAAACCCCGCCTTCTAAGTGGCAAGCCCCGCCCACTTTTCAAAAGTGGCGGAAATCGCATAAATACTTGAAATTTGGGCAATTTCCGACATTTTTGGTCGAGTGGGCGGAGCTTGCCAGAGGGGGCGGGGCTTGCACATTTTGTACTTCGTGCATGGGTGCATGCATACATACATGGGCCACGCGTAGGGATGCATGGAAAGGTCTCGTCCAGACCTTTCCGTGCATCCCTACGCGGGGAAGGGACAGACCTCAAAAGAATGGCTCGTCGTCAACGTGTTAAGATTGAAACTGAGAATAACCATTGCGCATGTGTCATCAATATACAGTCAACTTTTCTGACTGTCGTTTGATATCCCAGTATACAACTTTGCTTGGCTCATGCCAGGCTTACCCAGCAAAACTAAGAAAGCTGATTTACAGTATAGTAGTACCTCAGCAGTGTACACGGGCTTTATAAAGCGGCCTGAGTCACAAAAGCTCGCATCACGTTGAAAGCAATATTATAAGACTCTCCTTTGTTTGCCATTCACTTTAGACGAAGTTAGCGGCTGGACTCGGCACCAGGGGCTGCCAGAAACTTTTAAAGGAGGTGAATTTAAAAAAAGCACGAAATCACCTATAAACGCTTACTGAGAGTAAAAACATGAAAAAGAAAGGAGAGCAGAGCAAAGCACAAAAATACTGAACATAGTTGTCACGGCTAGGAGGATTCTAGAAGCTTTCTGAATATCTGCAAAGACTCCAGATAATAATAAGAATGAGTGCTTGTTTAGCTCTATATGCCACTGTGCGAGTTATAGATAGTAGATAGCTGATGTGCATTCTATTGTAGCGCCATTCGTCCGTCATTTTTCACGTCTATAAGTCGGGCAAGAGTGCTTGAAAATTTTTGAGACGCGAAGTTGGCATGAAGTAGAAACTGGTTGAGTTGGAAAAGCTATCTGGTGGTCTGATATTAGGATAATGCCTTGAGTCGTTCCTGAGAACGACGAAAGCGTCGAAACGTTGCGTCGGTACTATACTTGGGGAAATACGAAATTTTTTTTTTCGAGTAATCGAGTATCGAATATATTCGAAAATTGAAAATTTTGAACATTCGACTACAGAACTTTCGAATACATTCAAAAATCAGAAATTCCACATATTCGACTATCGAAGTATTCGAAAATCAAAAATTTCGAATATTCGATTATCGAATACCATTCGAATATCGAATATTCGAATATCGTTCGATTTTCGAATATCCTTCGAAAAATTGAATGTCTGTCTGATATGGTAAGGCCAAGCGCATAGTTTACAAGTACTGTGGGTCTTTGTAGTTCCCTTTTATGCGATTACTA